TTCATGTCTCTGTCTATTATATTTTTTTAATCTCCGCCTGTGAGAATAGCTTGCGCATAGGTTGCCTAAAAACTTGCAGCAAAGATGAAACGATAATAGCGGTCGATAGATAGAAACGTTTCAACAAACCATACTATAAGCTAGAAGATTTTTGAATATCCAATACATCACTATTAGTCACAAAATTTAGATGTTTTGCGGTTGAATACAATGAAAAAGTAAAGTGGAGATCATTCTGAGTACGTGTCTGCATGACACTTTGGTTTTATGAACAGAGTATAAAATAGAGTATCAATCAAATATCACAAGGATCTTGGGTAGTTTGTCATCATTGTGGATTCTCGTTGTTAGAAACATTGGTAATAATTGGTATTTGTTGACCCCTCCTCTCCTTGACGTCCGGTAAATTTTTTTCGAAGGAATACCATTTGATTGACCGAAAAAAATGAAATGACCTTATTCGATTTCAATTGTTTGTTTTACTCTTTCCAGCAGAAATCTTAATTAAATTCACCATTAAATCACACGTATCCACAGAAAACATACCGATCTCTTACAGACAAACAGAAAAAGATAAAATAAAGAAAAATGTTGAAGTTTATTACACTGATCATCACACAAGTTTCATTGTCCCGAAAAATTCACTAGCCAGCCATACTTCATAATTTTCAATAAATCAAACTGTTTACGCTGGACGAAGCATAGGTTTTTCTAGTAAAAAATGAAACGGTAGAAATTAAAGAAACAACATCAATATGCGCTCAGTAAACAACGAGAGCGATGAACACCTTGCTTATCAGTTTAAACCAACGAAACGCACTTCGATACAGTCGCATTCACAAAAGTAACATTTTCGTACGACAGTTAAAGGGTATAAAATCAAAATTTCACAGCTATTTTTCTGGACGTCCGCCTTCGCCTGGCTTTTTGCCTCCCTTGTCCGGCTTTTGTCGACTCCCTCTTCATTTTTTTCGAACATCCTTTATGGATGGCCCCTTATCGTTTCAATGATCTGATGACATTAAATTCATAAATTAATCTATGGTGTACTATACAAAATTTTCTTTCGAAGCATGATGTTGATCTTTAAGATCAATTCTGGATAAAATGTTTCTTAAAAAAATGTTGCGTTGAGCCTGGACCGGGCCGGGCCGTAGCCATTACGAGTTGGGCCGGGCTGGCCTGCAAAACTTTCTGACTGCTTTTGGCCGGGCCTGGCCACAACTAAGTGGCCCGTTTCGAGCCCTGATGTAACTAGCCGAGTTCTATTCAACCACAACAAAAAAGAAAAAGAAATGCTGCTAAAATTTTGAAGTGTGGTCACATTAAATGAACTGAAAATACCCTGAACTTCGAATATCTTCATCCGTGCGCGATTTGGGTAGCTCATATTTTAAATTAAGTAATTTAGCAGTATTAGGACATTCATTTCACGAGAACATAATCCATCTCCTTGATGTACAGTACATGACTTTTCAATGTGAATTTCTTCAAGATGTAAGTTTTTTAAAGTATAGACGCCTTGCCATGATTATTGTAAATCACGTGGGTATTTTGAAAAACTTATATCTCGGAGACACTTGACCAAAAAGTCCTGAAATATTTTGTACAAGTTAGTCTAATCGGTGTCTTTATGTGGGAAAAATTTCAAGTCAAAATTCGAAAGTATGATTTTGCTTGAAAACTAGGACCCTACAGAAAAAATCCGCTAAACATTTGAAATCTCAGCAGGAAAGGCCTAGCGCAGCTCGAACTACTCTAGGGTATTTATCAACTCACTACCCAGTCAAAAAAAAAGTTTGACAGCCACATGGGTGTTCAAAAACTCGCGTTTACTTACGAAGTATTTTTCAAATCATCGTGTCTTATGCATGAAGATACAAGCTATTTCAAATGTTTTGCAATTGTTGCATATAAATTGAAGACAATAGCACATGCGTAGAAATACAATTTTTGAAGTTTTTAAGCACAAGATGCGAGATTTTACATATCTCTTATTCCTATAAATAATTGCATGTAACAGTCTTGTGTGTTTATGCAAGGTGTATGACTTGTATGTACATGATTAAGTGTTATTGGCGTGTACCTGCAAGATGACTAGGATTTCGTCCAAATCTGCATATCAATGGAAAAACGTTGTGTCTAAGAAAACTATTATCAAAGTGATCTTGTATCGGCATGCAGGTTTCTGCCATTTTGTGATGTACACGCTGCTTCATATACGAATTTTGTTTTTTTTTTCTTCGGCGTATATTTATTTATTTCTCATTAACATGAAATCGTTCTCATATATCAATACTATATTACCTTAAGAACCTTATATCATTTTTCGAATTCGCCTAACGTCGTTAGTATTCATGTTCATATGCACATAGCGGTTATCAGATGATCCTTATCCCCTTCATTTTTGATTGCACTCCTATTGTAAATAGACGGTCGCATGGTGCAGAAGCCTGTCTTATAAAGCAGCGCGTGCATGTTCAGATCGTATATCTGGTAAAAAGCTTCTACACGTTCATACATGTTTACTACATGCGCTACTTTTTTTGGCCATTCAAAAATTGTCTTACATACACATGCATGTAGAGCTCTGCAGGGTAAGGCTACACGATTTTTTACAGGGCAAATTGCAGGTTACTGGTGTTATAACCTGTCAACCTGCAATAGAAATGCAGCCGTTGCAATCCTATAAAAATTCGAATGAATCATGGTAATGATTTTGAGCTAAATTAAGTCATTTACAGATTTCTCCATTATAAACGATAGTGATGTTTTATTTCTCTTTCAGATATTTCATTCCGGCACACATCATTAACATGTATTTCCAATTTCCCTTCTCTTTTTTATTCAAAAAATACACTTTTGTCAAGTTGAGAATTTCGTGATCTACTCTTGGATTTTTCCAATATTAATAAGTCCGTATTGAAGAGGCTCTATATATTACTTGAATTTACACTTGGATTGGCCATAAGCATGCAGCAAGAATGACAAAGTTTTCTATATAATAGAAACTCTATCAAAAGATCTACTATCTGCAAAAGAAAAGTAGGCAAGGCCACAGATTTTTCTAGAGCAAATATCGTCTTTCTCGGACTTTTTTACCCGAAATAAACATTCTCTCATTTCAAACAGGATCTTCCTCCAGAAGCTTAATAGTATCTTATTCTCTTCTACTTAGTTAATCTTCGTTGGTGCTGGTTACAGGTCAACTGAACTTTTCGAGAAACAATCTTAGGTTTAAATACCCCAGAAATTTTCTGCAGGGCAGGACGGGTTATAGGTTATGAAAAATCCGTACTCTGCAGGCCTCTACACACATGAAAGTATTCACAAAGACATTCTTATGTTTTCGCATGCATCTACAATATTAAGCGTCTATATGCGCAAAATGTCATACATGTAAAGACGAATATAGTTTACTCTACGATAGGTTCCTACACATGTCAAATGATAATAATTCATGCATGTATACACAGTAATAATGCTGCGTGCACATGATGCATTTTATCAGCTTTCACATTTCACTGGGTAGATCCTATTGATTTAGTTCTAATTCGAAAAAGAGTTATCACTTGGAGACTTTTGCTCGTAAGTGTAGTTACCTGAAATGAACTTGTACATTACCTATCGGAAGAAAAAATCAAACTTATGTTATTTCAAGCAGTCTAACACAAACATTCTTTCATTAAAAATAAGATATAACATTCGATGGAGTCTTATTTAGACCTTATTTTGAATAGAAAGTCTCTTCACTATCTCTAAGAAACGCATGCTGACATACTCAATTGTTTTGAGATCACAAAAGAACAATAACTAAAACATTCTAGATGATTACATTAACTAAAAGATCTTCTTTTCTATGAAGAAATACGACTATTAGTTTCACAATACAAACACTTAATAATTACCCAAGTTTCTTACCAATAATTATCTTTTTCAATTTCTAACACAAAATGAAACCATAAACAAATAACACCATTCACATACCTTATCGTAAGATTGTTGTCACTTAACTTTTCCTTTGTATAAGTAATTTCACTTAATAACAAAATAGTAGATTTGGCGATGTCGTTTTCTAACTATTCAGTTATATCAATATGATAGAGTTAATTGAACTTATGTATCGAACAAATTCGGTAACGACTTAGATAAGATTCGACTAGCGACACTATGAGTCTATCAGTACAACTCATAAAATTGTTGGCAACCAGAGAGTATACGCAAGTTTTTTCTTATGATAATGTTGACGCTTCATCAATTATTAATAGGTATGCAATTATAGCCCTTATTTCATGCATCACATCACTGATTACAAATTGAACACGTTTCTTAATTAATATTTTTCATGGAGAAGAAAAAAGAAAAAATTTCAATATCTTTCATGAAATTACCATAAAAAAGTGTGTTGTACTTTTTGCTCTTTCTCGATAAGAAATATTGATCAAAACACAAAGTATACAATGTTTTAGTCAGTGATGGGAAGCATAAAATGAGTTTTATGATTACATATCTACCAACGATTGATGGAACAGCACGACTATTTTATGAAAATATTCATAAGTGCCTTCGTCCATTTTCTATTGGCAATTAAATTTCAATCTAATAAGGAAACCATTGTGCTCATCACTATTCTCTATCCAGATTGAGAAGCGTATAGTCAAGCAAGAAGTTAATAGATTTTCTTTTGTGATTCTTCACTTTTAGTGATGATAGATGCAGCAGTGGCAAAATTCTCACAAGCAGAAGGTGGCTGATCAATTCGTCACCACTCAATTCGTCGCGCTCAATTCGTTGCGTTCTTTTCGTCGCCGCTCAATTCGTCGCATTCATTTCGTCGCCTATTGAATGCGTTGTATTTTTACTGCATATATCATCTTTTTCTCTTTCTCTCTCTCTACCTCTTAATTAATGATACATGTAATGAGACGACAAGTTTATTGCAAGAAAAAAAAACAACTATGTAAATGACAGAAAAAACAATTACAAGGAAACATTAGCAGCTATATTTTTAAGATATTGAGGAATCTGTAGTGGGTATAACCACGAACCAAGCGCACGATTCTGTCGTCGAGTTTTCTGTAGCAGGCTTTTTTAGGCTTCGGCTGATGACCTTGAAGAAGATGAGCAATGTCGACCTCAAATTTAGATTGTTCACGACGAATCTTCTCGGCCAGTTTCTTGATTGTTGGATGAGCAATTGTAACGCGGTTTGCAAAAGCATTGTGCCATCCTTCAACAGAATTGTTGGACCGAGGTAAATCAGCTATGAAGCGATCATAAACGTTCCATAATGTGTGGTCGAATTTAGGCTTTTTACGGCCAGCCCCTTAAAAGTAAGGTATTTAGAAAAGTTAATTTTAATAACTTTTTTACCTCTTCTTCTTGGTTCACCAATCCATGTTTTTTCAAAATAATCAAGGAGATCATCAGCGTCGTCGTCGAATTCACCTGCCACAAGATCAAAGCCAGTAATTACATCAGATAGGGGAAGAAAAGCCAGACCAATTAATATTTTGACGTTGAGTCGAAAATTTTCATCTTCTCGATATTTAGTTGATAGCCCCATGTTTTGTACTTGCCGCCAAACGCTTTGACTGAAGTGAAAGAGACAACCTATAAGATAAACGTAATTAGTGTATTTTAATGAGACTTTTTTTTGCGATTACCTTTGTGAGTTGCGTTTGGCAACATTTCTTTGATTGTCTTGATTGTACCAGACTCGAAGTCACTAAGGATCGTTTCGGGTCGAAAGTCGTCCTGGTCTAGTACTTTTTTGAAGAAGCCGTTATAATCATCCTAGCTTTTTCCAATCAAGAGGCCATATACAAGGGGGATAATTGTTGATGTCATCAACGCATGAAGTGTGAATAGCTGATAAAAGTCATTAGGACATACCTAAAAGGAGAGACATTCATTGGTTGTGAAAGAATCAATTAGTCACATACTTTAAACGTTCCATCAGCAAACCAATGTTTTGATTGCTTCAGCGCTGATAAATTACTTTTCGTGGTGAAAATAATCATATCCGCCTCTTCGTGCAGGAGAAAATCTTCGCCACGATAAGTCTTCTTTAAATCGTCAGATAAATCATCAGTAGATGTTGTTACTGGTGTCTGACGCTGTCTTCGAATCGTTTGCATGAGCATTTCAGTACAAGGAAGTTCACTTGTTGCGCTCAATGGAAACGTTCGTAAGGATGAGTGGAGGATGGTACTTGTTGATTCTTCCGATGTGACGGCTCGGGCTTTGATCTCGTTATTAAGTTCGATTACTGGAATGCGTTCTGGGTTAGGTGCGTGATTATGATCAGTTGGTGGAGAGAGAAAAGTATCCATTGACAAATTTGTATGGCATCGAGCTAGAAACGATAATAATTAATGTTGTTTTCTTCATTTTTATATTTTTTTTACCTTTGCAGCTTCTGTTTTGACAACGAAAAATTATTTTTGTTGCTGTAGATTTTTCCTTAGTATAAATATAACCCAGGTAACAAACCATAGGTTTTGCTTTTTCTGATAAGAGCTTTTGAACAGAAGACATGGAATGAGTTGAGTTGATAAGCGATGAGTAGTACTCTTATCAAGCCAGCTATCTTTTTATACATATCAGGCATAATTAGTTTATTATTAATGAGCTTTCACTTAGACAGACAGTGTTTCATTTTATTTCCCAACTCTAATTTATTTAATATGTTTTATTTAAAATAATCTCATTCACAACAAAACAGAACAAAACCTTTTTTTAATCCACTAGAAATCATCAATAAAAAATTAGATTTAAACTTTCTTGAGAAGTTATATATTTATTTTTTGACACAATGTAACACGCATACAAACAATCAATTAAAAGAAACACGCGACGAAATGAATACGACGAAAAGAACGCGCGACGAATTGAGTGGCGACGAATTGACATAGTTCCAAGCAGAATTCAAGAATTTTGCTATTTCATTCAGTTACTCTAGCACAATTATCGAATTCATAATATACTATTGTCACTGCATGGAAATCAAAGTTCTGCTTAGAATTTTGTTTCTCCAGCTGGGTTTCCACAGAATTGCGTTCTTTCTAGCAGAATTGTACCTAATCCTGTACACATACCAAATTGAATATTAGGTTTCATTTAATTGTAAACAGCTAATTTTTGAGCCGATTCCGTCGTATCCTTTCGATATTTCTAGTGAAAACTTGATTTACAATCGTGTTTATAAATTTGTATGGATTGTTTTTTCATATGAGAAACAAATGTTCGTAATTCTAATTCATGTAATTTATTAGTATTTCTTGCATATTCAGTTAATAATTTCCAATAATTTTCCGTTTATTTTATGGCAAGATGTATACCTTTCATATTTAAGAATTTATTGAAATCAATTGCAATAATTTCTTGTTCTTTATCACACATTGAAATACAAGGATCAAGAATTTTTATGCTTTCATAAATTTTTAAATTATAAATATGTTTATGTCTGTCACGAAGAACAAAATAATGATTTCAATAATATTGATGTTTCATTTTCATAATAAAACTTGAATTTGATTTATGTTCGTATTTCTCATGAAAACCAACATAGCTACTTAAATTCTTTATGAGCGAGATTAGCACTGTTCAAATGATTAATTTGTTTTTCATGAGAAATATTGACATTATTCGAATTCATGCTTTCTTCTAAATATGAAACATCAACAGTATTGAAATCCTCATGTTGTTCTTCATAACAAACATAAACGTATCATGTATTAAGAAATATGTGTATAAATGAGTGCTTTATACAATTATATATATATAGAGGGAATTTTAGGTTATTCTAACTACAATTTTCAACCATGTAATTGTTGATCTATTGATGGAAAGAAACAGTACAAAAACACATCACAAATTTGATCTTCAGGATGATTTTTTTATCTTGAAATAAGGTGCTAATCTAAATTCTTATCTTAATATATTTTTCTTCTAAGAGAATATATTTCCATTGTGATTATGATTAAGATTAAGATAATGATGATGGTGATGGTGATTATTCAGGGTGTCCCAAAAGTCGCACTACACTCTGAAAACCTTCGATTTCTCCACTATAGTTTGATCAAGTTAAATGATTTTTTTACCAGTGATAGAGGAACACTGATACGTCGTTCTTATAAGAAAAAACATCGAAACACACTCTTTTAAAGTCTCACGGCTGGCTCAATAAAAGTTCATAGCCGTGCATTATGTCATGATCGTGAGCCAAGTTACTTTGCCCTTACATTATTTTCTCTTTGGTTCTGCTTAGCTTTATTCCCTATTCTCTGTTCTTTCATTCTCTACTATTTCAACGTATTGTCTCGATGATAATAGAATATCGTGGGTATTTTAATATATAGAAGCGACGTACTGTTTAGGAGAGAACATCCAAGAATGTGCATTCTGATGCTTCATGTGAGATATTTTTCTTTTTTTGGTCGGAAGAAGGAGAAAAAGATTGACGAACTAAAAAGGCGAAATAATAGATCATTTATCGAAAACTGCATAGTTATTGCTACGAAGGCTAATGACGGACAAACTCAGTGTAATAGAACGTTGTAAAATTGCAGCATGGATGGAGACACTAGGTAGTGTCGTGGACGTACGTCGAAAGTTCGAAGAAGAATTTGGAAAAGAATCTCCAGCTCGTTCAACCATTTATGATATCCATCGACGATTTATTGATACTGGCAGCATTCACGATCGTTCACGTTCAGGTCGACCGAAAAGTGTACGTCATGACGAGCATATTCAAGCCGTGTCTGAAATGATATCAAGCAGTCCGACAATGTCGGTCCGAAGACTATCACAAGAAACAGGCATTTCACGTAGCAGTGTGCACAGAATCATGAAAATTGACCTGAAACTGAAGCCATATCGTTTTCAAATGGTACAGCAGCTATATCCAGAGGATGAAGATCGCAGAGAAGAGATGTGCTCTTTACTTTTAAACAAGATTTCTGAAGAAGTTGATGGCGATCAGTTTGTGTCGTCTCTCTGGTTTTCTGACGAGGCAACGTTTCATGTATCTGGCGTAGTTAATCGTCACAACTGCGTCATCTGGGGTGAAGAAAATCCAAGAGTCATCCGTGAACACGAACAGAATAGTCCTAAACTACATGTTTGGTGTGCTATTTCTGGTGACGGTATCATTGGACCATTCTTTTTTCGCGAAAACGACAACACCGTTTCTGTCACGGGTGAAAGATATCTAAGAATGTTGCAGGACTTTTTTCTTCCAGAGCTTCAACGGATGGGACTTCAACCGGAAGACATAACGTTCCAGCATGATGGAGCCCCTGCCCATTTCCATCATACCGTCAGAGACTGGTTAGATGAAGTATTTCAAGACAAGTGGATTGGAAGACGAGGACCAATTGAATGGGCTCCACGATCACCTGCCCTCACTCCAATGGATTTCTTCTTATGGGGATCTGTTAAAACAAGTGTCTATGCAACTCAAGTGAAAACACTAGAGGACCTTGAAATCAGAATCACAGATGCCATACAGAACATATCACAAGCAACCCTTCAGGCCGTATTGGATGAAACCGTGCGCAGATGGGGAAAATGTGTGGAAGTAAATGGACAACACGTTGAACATTTACAAAAATAATGTAGTTGTGATGTTCTGATTAAACCAGCGAAATCCTCATGAATTAAAAAAATAAATGTTTAATGTGTAAATTGATTCTCCGAGGCGCACTGAAATTTACATGAGTATTTTTCGGTGTTTTTCTTATAAGGACAAAGCATGAGTGGTCCTCTATCACTGGTAAAAAAATCATTTAATTTGATCAAACTATAGTGGAGAAATCGAAGGTTTTCAGAGTGTAGTGCGACTTTTGGGACACCCTGTATGTTAAAAGCATCAGAATAACCCATTGTGTCATAAATCATCAAATGTACACTGCAGTCAACAAATTAGTATGTCATATTCACTAAGATCTACTAATGTGGCTGCTATGATTCTTGAGGAGAGAAAGGCCAGAAGTGCCAATCTTGGACACTTTTGTTAGATTCTAGCTCATTCCATTTATAAAAATCATCGAAAATCACGATCACTGTCGCCTAATTGAATCCACTTTCTAAGACAATGAAGAAACGTCCTGAAAGCATTTATCCACCTTTTTTGATAGCCCAGAAGTATGTTGTCTCACTGTAGGGGACAGCAACAAAAACAGAATGTGAATCTTAAAACTTGTAAAAACGTATTTTTAACTTTTGTAAGAGCTTTCTGAGATGTTTTTATTCGAAAATTCTCAGTTTCAATAACTCGTATATGATCATTGCATATTCGAATTCACAATGAAAGTAAGAAGCGCTGGTATTATTAGCTTGAACAATGTCTATAACACCGAATCAGTTAGCATACTATCTGTTGACGACACACTCATAGCTGTTGATCTTCTAAAAAAATTGCTCAGCGTTTCCATTACTATGGACGAATCTTACATTGTTGTGTAATATACATGAAAACTTTCAAATTTAACGCACTTATCACCAGATAATGGCGTCGTTATCTTTGCAAACAAAATAAAAAGATATATTCTTTTTATTTGGTGTATACCGTCTAATAAAGGTAAGTAATGGTGACGTTTTATTTGTTCTTCTATTAGGAAAGTTAGCCATTTTACATGCTTACTAGATCCTATTAATTTATTTCGAAAAGAGACAAAAGCACGCACAATAACCGATTATATATAAGATAATTGAAGTAATATAAAATAGATTGAAAAGAGCAAATTATAATAGACAAGTGCGATATATCCATTTATGAAAGAACAAGTTTTGCTGCGAACAGGAAGTTCTATTTCGACACATTCTGATGCTTCTCGTGCACGAAAAAGCAATATTCTTCAGAAATCAATTTACTTGACCCTACACTGAGATGGTATGCAATACTTCATCAGTATTTGGAGGGTGAGGATTAGCTAGGAGCTTTTTAGTGCGTCATCTGTTAATCTGATTTCAGATAATGGTTCGTGCGTGATATTTCCTTGAGCATCGTCAGATGGAGAACTAAATCCATCTCTATCTTCATTCTGTCGTATAGTTCAATGAATTCTGTGATAAAATACAGAATTGAATCTGATCGATTTTTTGACTTATTTGAGAGTATCATTAGCAAAAAAACTGGACCCCTCTTTTACACTTTTTTCGTGGACAGATAACTTTATTTTACATTTTTCAAATACAAATTTGACGAAGACAATTTATTAGATAAAATATTTAGGGTATAAAATATGATCTAAAGCCAAGAAGTTAGTCTGAGCTTTTCCTCAAATCTTTCAAATGACGAGTTGTATCGTTGTCGATTATTTTTATTATTTGCATTTTGCATTTAAAGCTGTCCAATGATTATGAAGGTCTCAGAGAAAAACAAATATTCTCTCGGATTATTGAAAGTGGTGACTTTAATGGCTTCATTCAAAATATTTCAGAAGTTTAAAATAGCTTGGAAGGGTGTGGGTGTGGGGTTCGGGTGGAAGTGTGAGTGTGAGTAAACAATAAATAATTACAACCACACCCACACTTCACCCACGCACCGACACACACCCACACACTCACACTCACACCTACCCCAGATTCAACCTCAAACTCATACCCACCCACACCCAGTTTGTAGTTTATGCACAGCAAATTGTCCTATATACATTGGCATTTTTAGTTCAAGAATGGAGAATGAGATTATACATTCTGATAAAAACTCTTATAATTGATGAATCTGGAGATACAAAACAAATAATCATTAAAATGAATCGAAAGGTAGCATATTAAAGTCATTGTATAATATATGAATTTGTAAAGCTTATGAAATAAAAAAAAGAATGCTTGTTCAACAGAAGAACCACTTGCTCCTTCCAACTATTTATCATGGTACAATAAAGTATGTTTCACTCGAAAAATCACAATTAGTCGTACAATTACCACAAATGTTTTCAACGATTCTGACAAGACATGCACTCATAAGTGATTCGAAGCTATTTCAAATAGTTTTGACGAACCTACCTCTTCATTCTTTCGACTCTGATTGCATAAAATCGTTTCATATATATACTAATGTATTCTGTTACAAAACAAGCATACACATGAGAAATACGATGCATGTGTCTCTCTAACTATTTTTATTATTGGTTAAGTTCAAAATAATCGATGAGTCATTTCAACGCCTAGTTTTTCGCCACCGGTGATAAGAACTTTGCCTGAATTGAGCATGGTGGCAGTATGCGAAGCACGTGTTGTTGACAAGCGTGCACTCGGAGTCCATCTACCAGCCGAAGGATCAAATATTTCAGAACTATCCAAGTAGCCGGTATACCCATAGCCAGCCGTTGCAAGAACTTTTCCTGATCTAAGCATCGTTGTAGTATGGGAAGAACGTTCTTCGATCATGTGAGTAATATTGTTCCATTTGCTCGTTGATGGATCATATATCTCACAGCTGTTTAAAAAATTAGCGTATCCGACACCACCAGTAACAAGAACTTTGCCCGAAGCGAGTAAAATTGAACTGTGAAATCGACGTCCTGTTGTCATACTTCTGATAGTATCCCATTTATTTGTTAATGGATCATATATTTCAGAACTAGTCGAATACCTGGCTGATTGCATACCACCAATGAGAAGAACTCTACCTGACTTGAGCAAGTTTGCAGTAGGATCATAACGCGCTTCCGGTCCCATGCTTGTAAGAAAACTCCATTGACCTGTCGATCGATCATATATTTCAGAAGTAGTTGCATCACTCGTGACAAGTACTTTGCCTGAATTGAGTAGAGTTGCAGTATGGCTAGAACGTGACGTCGCCATGCTTCCTGTGAGACTCCATGTATTCGTTAATGGATCATATAATTCGCAAGTATTCAAAGCACCATTCAAGTCATACGTACTACCGCCAGTGACGAGAACTTGACCCGATTTCAGCAGAGTTGCAGTATGAAAACCACGTGGTATTGTCATATTTGCAGCAGCATGCCATTGACCGGCTAATGGATCGTATAATTCACACGTAGCAGTATAACCGGTATATCCTCCAGTACCTGCGACGAGAACTTTACCCGAATTCAACAGAGTTGCAGTATGAAATATACGTGGCATCGCCATGCTTGCAGTAGTGGTCCATTTGTCTACTAATGGATCATATATTTCACTTGTAGCTATAGCATTGGATGATCGGTGAACATTAGTAACTTTGCGTGAATCGAACAGAATTGCAGCATGAGGATATGTACTTGATCCAGTTCTATTAAAGGCATTCAAAGTCAACAAAAAAGAAACGATATTTAATTAACTGTGCATCTCCAAAATTGACGAAGTTGAATTCTTTCACAACGTCTGTCTCTCATTTTATTCATCATATACCCAATCTTCCGTCTCACTGTTAATACGCATAAGTAGTAGCCGTGTCAATTGATGATATCAGAAAAAATTTTCAACTTGAAAAATAAAAGGCTAAATTATTTATTCAATGAATCACTCTCTCTTAGAATGCTTTCAAAAAAAATTGAAAAACGTACTGAATAGATACTTACATCCATGTAAAAAAGAACAGAATAATACGATAGTCTATGGACATGGTCCAAAATTAAAATTTTGCTGCGATTGATAGTAAGTAGTGTAAGAAATATTCACTATGATAGTAGTATCAAAATGAAATAGAGTCAAACAGAATAAAAACATATTTATTACAGTTTCAGGATGACGTATGCGAAAAACATAAAGCGACATTTTAATTCTCTCACATTGATGATATGCTTTCTTTTTATCGTTAAAACGTTGTCATTGTTTTCAAAACACAAAGTAAATGATAGATTAAAGAATTTGTGTCAAGTATGATAAAAATTAATGCATACCTTTTCAATTTTCATTGTTCTGAAGAGCAAAAGTATATCACATCAACAACAAATCATTGTCACTCTTAGTTGGCATTCTTTGTATAACGATGACTTTACATCTTAACAAGTCTATTTTTATCAAGTTTAGTTAGATAGTTTGTCAGAATTAACAAAGAATGTGGTTCTTAACAACTTTTTATTGCATTAAGGGCAAGCATCTTTTATTCTACAAAACTGTTCATTGGTACCGTACTGCATATGCCTTGATAATATCAAAAACAAAATAGGCGTGTTTCTTGAGGGTGTGGGTGTGGGATGTGATTTCTAAGCGATATACATTGGTATGTGCTCTAAGTTTAGTGAAAATTTCAGATCTCTCTCTCACATTTTCATTAAGAGTTATGACAAGGGGAAACAGTAAACTTTTGTACTTCAAGTTACTTTTCCGTACTTTCAAGTACTTTTCGAGTACTTAGAGCTACTTCAAGTAACTTTACCATACTTCAAGTTACTTTAGCGTACTTTGGGTAACTTTGACGTACTTAGAAGCACTTTGAGAAAATTGATCTACTTCAAAACTTCTTCATATAACTACAAAAATACATTCTTTATATAGTAGTTTATAACTGTTTTTGTTTTTCCCAACGGATTCAAGAGAAAATAGTAAAATATTCGAATCAAAATAAGTGTCGCACTGATTCACTCAAAATAAAAAAATAAAAAAAGACATCGAAGATCACATGTCGACTGAATAAACTTCAAAGATGATTTCCCTAGCGGACAAAAGTTTTGAAAAAGGCGTTTAAGCGCATAAACGGGAATCATTATTGCAAGCCATTCATGGTAATTATTAAAACATCGGAAACGCCGTTCTTAGCATGAAACTATTACTTTCAGAATGATTAAATGACCAAAACCTCTTATTTTTAGCGTTTAAATACGCGAGTTTTTAGTTGCAGCATTTATGCGCGTTTAAACGCTAAAAACATGCGGTTTTCATGATTTAAACGCTCTAAAAGTAATAATTTCTGGCTAAGAATGGCGTTTCTGACGTTTTAATAATAATCATTAATGGTTTGCAATCATGATTCCCGTTTATGCGTTTAAAAGCCTTTTGTGAAACTTTTGTCTGGTTGGATTCTGTTTGTTGGATGATGCTCCTGTGTCTGTGACGTCAAACGATGTTTACCAGTTTGCGTACTCTACTTTAATAATACCTGAGAATTAATCTGATATGTGTCTGGTATAGTACTTGGTGAAGCATCATCAACTTCACCAGCGGCGCAAGCTCAATTTTTTAGGAAGGCGATAAACTTTGACGCAATACTATGGTAAATTTCTTTACCTCCTACTATAAGGAGCAGTCCAAGTGTTAGAAAGCTATTTAAATACCCGATTTGTGACAGACGTAGTATTGCAGGGTTGAATAATTATCAAGGGGGAAAAAGCAGATTTCAAGATTTCAAGATTCTCAAAGATTCTCAAAGATTCCCGAAGATTTCTAAAGATTCCCAAAGATTCTCAAAGATTCCCAAAGATTTCTAAAGATTCCCAAAGATTCTCAAAGATTTCTAAAGATTTCTAAAGATTCCTAAAGATTCTCAAAGATTCCCAAAGATTTC